GTCATATGTATTTAACTGTCAATATTTCTACGTATATCAGGTCTGTATCTTTCAGTTGCACTTTTTCTTATTTTTTTCTTTACTCCCATCTTTCTCTGAAGATCGAATACATACAACTTGAAAATACAAGAACGAAAGTGTTTTATAGAATGAACCCTACTGTTACCACCGCAATATTCGTTCAGGACTGATTAAACGTAGCACGGTCGATAGTTTTCCTATTTAACAATTGCGTAGTTATCATCCGCGGACTCGGGACAAAACTGAAAAATTACATAAGGAGTTACACAAATGGTTTGTAGATGTATACTATAATATAATATGTATGTACCTGTTTTAGCATTAAGATTAAAATAATTAAAAGTAAACATTGTAAATCTTTGTGTCTGCCATTTTTTGAATAAACTTATATTATTTGTATCTTCAAAACGAAAACAGTTATCTGTGAGAAACATTATTTCCCAATATTCACTTTTGTTATAATCTATTTACACTTAATTGATTTATTTTCGAAATAATGAATTTTTCCAAATAATGGTGTTCAATAGATGGAGAGCAAGTTTTCTTTTTTTTGGTAATATCGTTATTATTTACATTATGGTATATCGAGACGCAGACGTCAGGATTTCACACATTCCGATAATTAATCGTTTCAACAAAAACCATTTATTCACAGATCGTAGCCTCTGCGGATGCAAAATAACACGCCAAACTAGCGATCTATCGCTTAGCTTCGGAAAATAATCGCGCAAAGCGCATAATATGGACATTGATTTTTCAGGAGAACCGCCTGTTTCGAATCGGTTCCTTAAACGCATTAATAACACAACACCATCGAAATCTTTTGCCGTCGGCATATTATTCTAAAATTATTATTAATTATTATAGAAAACTGTTATTTGGAAGTTACGTAAAATATTCAAGAGGTAATAATAAGATTACCATCCTCTGTCTAAAGAATTGAAATAATGCGATCTCAAGTACGTTATTGATAATTAACTCTTACACATAGATTATATATATATAACAAACATAATAACAAACTTATATTAACTTGCGATTCAACAATTAGGAACAAATATGTCAATGCAATGGCAGTACAAAGCTAATGCGATGTTTATAAATGTTCACAAATTATATATATAAATATGCAATATAGACTGTAATTATAATCGACATACAAATTGTAATAAAGTATCATTGTTTATTACTAGTACTGAGACACTCGCATACATAATAATATTGTTACGACAATGACATAACAGAACCGTGCGAGTGATCTCCATATTATTGCAAAAGAAAAAAAAAACAAAAAAACAAAAAAAATAAAAAACAAAAATAGGCCACAGTGAACTACCGAATTCTTACCTCGCAAAATTCGATTGTGCCAGAAACAAAATTTATGGTTTACAGATATGATTCGCTTTAAGGGATCGGTTAAAAACAGGCGACTTATCCGAATACGCGTGCCGGTCTCACGTGTACACATTGTATGTGCATGCGCTTTAAGGAAAAAGGATGAAATAGAACGACTCATTTATCACAGTATTGCACGCAAAGCTTGTACGAAATCGCAAGTAAGATAGCATAAAGGCCAAATGGCGACACTACATGCTTTCCTCTCAGTAATATAATGTTGTGTAATATACATTTGGGGAGTTCAGAATTTCCTCTTCTTTTTTGTAGAAGTAGTGAAATGTTTGTTTACTACTTTCTCGTCCTCTATTTCTCTCTCTCTCTCTCTCTTCCTCTGTCATTCTTTCTCTATCACTCTCACTCATACACTTCGGCATATTCTTTTTACATTCCATGGCAACAACTCCAAATGACTCCTCGCATCCATGGTCCATGATAATTTCAACGTATATCTGACAATATCATTAGTAATAAAATAATAAGTCATTATGTATGTGTGTGTATGTGTGTGTGGCTGGGTTGTGTGTGTGTTTGTATAATGTGTGTGCGCGTGCGTATGTGTGTGTGTGTGTGTGTGTGTGTGAATACATCACCTGAGAATAAATCGTGATATATCTTCGCTTCCTTCCTAACGTTTTCTGGTTTTCCAATTTTTTTCTTTTTTTCTTTTTTTTTCTTGTTTTTGACGTACACAATTTTTCCCCTCGCACAGTAATTAGCTTAACAATCCATCGTCGTTACGGATGTTACAAAAGAATATAGTAGCAAGCAATTTTTAACGTGTTCCCTCCTGCCTTGTCCGAATCAGTGCAGGGCGATTTTTTTCAAACAATTAAGTATTAATAGTTTAACAAGAACATTTTTACAAAATTTTCCAAAAAAAGTCAAGCTTCTTTAGATAGTTCTGAAACGCATTTTTCAATATTGGCAATGGATTGAGATATATCATTTACCAAGTCTCAAAAATCTACAAATCTACTTTGGAAATTTAAAGTAAAAAAAAAAAAAAATTAAGAAATTTTTATATATAGCACACAATTAAAATTACTCAAATAAAAACACGATTTTTCAAATTACGACTAAATGCATTAATTAAATGCATTAAAAAAACATCCAACACGTTTCTCCGAAGACGACGAAATGTTATCACGCAAGTTTTGATTTACCATTTCTCGGGGCAAAGCTCGTTGCGTCAATGATACAATCCAACAGACATCAAATACCATTGCTTATCATACTTTACATTCGCAAGAGAACTTTGGCAACAACACACTCGCGTTACAAGGTTTTTTTTGCAGCTGGATAGCACAGCCTTTCACACATACGCAAATCATAGCTTTGATATACACAGTCGCTCATAATTTCTCTTTCTTTCTCTCTCTCTCTCTCTCTCTTTCTTTCTCTCTCTCTCTCTCATTTATTCTCTTATTATTAATAGCGGCATTAATAATAATTCTAATTGGATAATTTTGCCGTAGTGTTGATAATAATACAATAGAGTTATATCATACAATATCGTATGTACAATACGAGAAGAATCGTTTCATATCGAATAACAAATTGTACAGCGGTAAGAGACTAACATCGAGGTTGTCGAGAACCTTTTTCCTTCCGGTACCGTTGCTTCTCGTCCTGTTCCGTCTCATCTCCCAAGTAATTACAATAACCGGCTGTAGCAGGTGAATATCGGCGGACATAGAAACTTTGCTTCTTACGCATATCGCTCCGCGAGCGAGCAACGCTCAATCAACGGTGGAATAATATAAACAGAGTAAACGAAAAGCCAACGCGCAGAAGCAAAAGAGTGAGACGAGATAAGGGAATTTGCGTTATTATTTACAACTCGAGCGTTTTTTTGTTTTTTTTTTTTTTTTGTGTTAGAGAACACTCAAACGTTCACCAATCGATCGCGACTGTAAATGAATAGGAGATGGATGCAAGATCGATATGAAAGAAAATAAACATATATTTATTTTTCTCATCGTAAACACTTATAAACGAAAACAGTATGGGGGAGGGGGGAGGGGCACATAGATTTATCTATAATGTAGCTTTGCTTCTTTTTTTTTTTTGTCGTTTTTCTCAAGCTGTGTCACTCTCGTTATCGTCGATCCCGATTACACGGTGATCAAAGACACTAAAGTAAGTTCCGGCTGGTCCGCGATAATGTCCACGCATTCGTCATATGTTCATTGAATGAAAGTCGTTCAGTAATTTTATCCCCTACATGTGCGACACAGGCTAGCATAGGTACCTCCCCACATTCGCTATTTACACTGTTAAATCGGTCCTGTCCTCTTCCTTTCTATTTTTCTCCCCTCCCGCTTAGGTTTCTCTCTCGCGAGCGCTGGAAAAAGAGAAAAGGTGGAAGGCAGGATCATTTAACAGTGCACACCTTGCGAACTCTTATCATTTGGCCATTTAAACCAGTCAATGGCACAGGTTGAGACTGCAGTTTGTTATTTTAAGGCGAATGGAGCACCCGACTCGTTCAGTATGGTTTTCGCATATCGGATTTTTAAAATAGCTCAAAAGAAGTATTACTCGTTTTTATTTTAATGATTCCGTCAAAGTGTGATACGGTGATACCGCATACAATTGTCATAAGTGGGTAGCCGAGTGTCTCGTGTATATAAAAATAAAGAAAAAAAAATCGGACAATTGGAATACTATATGAGGAAAAAATATTAAAAAAGTGCAAAAAAATTGTTTAAAATTCTCCCGGTCAAAAAAATAGAAAAATACCTTTTTTTTAATGACTTTTGGAATGCAATTTCAATATTGATAACGGAGCTAAATGTAAGACGTGATATTAGGAAAAAAAGGAGGTAACTCTAAAAAACATGTGGGCACGTGTAAATGTCTGGTATAGTCAATATAACGTACGAACGTTTCACAAAATTGTTTTAAAACAAAAATAAAGAAAAAAAAGAAAAAAAAGAAAAAAACCAACATACCGGGATCTTTCGTCATATTCGCAACAAATATTTCAGCTGATTATACTTTTTTCGAGTTACTCTCCGATATGCGTCACATGATGCTTGCGTCGTACAATTAAATAATCTCAATTTCTCAATTATCTCGAAAGCTGTACTTCCAGCTGGACTATTTCCTACGTACTGGACAAAAATGAGAAGTCTCAACAGAGCACGGTATCTTTTTTTTGTCGTTTTTACACAATTTTGATATCTTCGCAAAGAAAAAACGATATATAACAAACTTTACCAATCCTAATTCATTAATAATTAACTCTCGCGTTAATACTAAATAGACAGTACACTTTCATGCTTTCATATGAAACTTATCCATGATAATTTTACTTTATCATTACCTATAAAGGCGATAAGTTTCAACGACACTTCACTCATTCTTATCTCGACGTATGAGACTGCTGTACGAACATTGCTTTGAATAATACGTTATGCAACCACGTTTTTATACGAGAATAATCATTTTCAATATAGAGTATATTCTCACATTCTTGCTTCAATAATAAGAAGCAGTACCATAAAACAAATTGAAAAATATAACTAAAACTACTAGTTTAAACGCAAAATGATTAACACTTAATATTTAATCTGTTTAGTACTTGGAGCAAAATATGCAGACCATAAATATAGCCTGAGATTACGGAGTTCGTAGACTTACATTTAAAAATTGTGTATTTTAACATTTAAAAGTCGTATTATACTTAGGCTCAATTTTTAGGCATTTACAGGCATACAAATATAAAAGATACGATTATATATCTTTTCTACTGTTTCCAGTTAACTTATAGTCAATTTAAAAGATTAAATTTGTCACTATATGTAGAATAGAGCACTAGAATCTTTGATAACTCTGTAAATGTTGATTTTAGCGAAAAATTCGCACAGCTCGAAGAAAGCAATATAACGCATTAATAATAATAAAGTTAACTCAAGCAAATGAAAGATTATCGTCATAAAAATGCATGTATTTTTGACAAAGTTCAGAAAAGAATGCGGAAATGTATCCAAGTCCAACGTTGACAATATTTTTCAAAATTTATTAATTTATCATTAATAGATTAATAATAAATTTTTAAATTCAAAATACAAGTCAGATAAACGTCGCTTGAAGACAATTCATTCAAGACAGTTGAATTTGTTTCATCATTAATTAAATGTTCTATAATTTTTATTGCAAAACGAAATTAATTTTGACTTACAAGATTGAAGAGTCTTAAAATTTTAAAAATTACCAGAGATAAAATTTAAATCATTCATCATCGTACGACCTTCTTCGAATTATACAATATTTATCTGAAACATTTTTCACTAAAATAAAATCAATGTTTGCAGAGTTATCGAATTAACTCCATTCTGTGCACATTTCTTCATGTACACATGTACTGAAAGTATGAACCAGCATATACGCTTTCATATACATACACATGCATTTTATTGAAAAAGTGACAATATTTTTTTTATTTACGCCTGTAAATAATGCCACGAAAAAAGACAAAGACCCCAAATTTTTTATTCTCAGAAGAACAATATACTAAAAAGATTGCATTTTGAAAATGAGTAGATTATCGTTTGTAAGCTACGATAAGATTCGATAAGAAAAAACGAAAACTTAGGAACTAGGAAAGTACTTCGCGTATACAACTTTATAAAAGTCAAGTTACATTTAATGAGCAAATGATACGCATTAATGCACACAAATTATCCTTGTGCACTTTCGGAACAACGCCCACTCCTACAATGATCGCAAGTCGCATTCAACAGCAGCATGTCAAGTCGAACAAAATTCAACTTTCCATCTTCCGCATGAATCTTTTGCAACATGCGTTCATTGTACACACGGGCTTTTACGTATCAAAAATTATATCGGTTAATCGGTCATTTTTTCTACGAAATCTGGAATAATAAGAGATTATGTAACATTATAGATAATAACATGTAAGCGAGGGGCAGTTAATATTGTCAGTGATTCGTAAATGTAATATAAAGTCTATTTGAACGCATCCTCTCGTTTAAATTCTAAATAATCATTCAAACATGCTACGAACATGTCATGCGAAAGTATGCGCGCCAAAGTTATAGCATTATTATTCACGTGAAATGCCATCAATTTGGAATAACTTCCGCTTAGAGCCCCTAGAAAGTTCAAAGATATTTTGACGCGATAATATATTGTGATCGAACAGCAGTCTCACTTTCATCAACCGATTGAAGAAACTCTACACGAAATTATACACACATTCACACCATCCGTATTTTTACTGATCACAAGCAAGTATCTCCTTATAATTATCATTACAAATAATTATTAGTTATTTATTAAATAAGCAAGTCTGTGTAAAAATTTAGCGTTTTGCGATACATTCCGCATTCTATCTTCACAGACATTTGACCAGATTTTGAGCTTTGACATTTTCAAAACTCAGTTTAGGGAGTTTTTTTAGAATGCCAGGCTATAGTACATACAAGTCCATTTTGTCAGCCCCAAATAATTTTCACTGACATACCACAGTCACACAGGCTACGTCCACCTGTAATATGTGCATTCAGAAAGAATTTCACCATTGAAAATCCTATTTTTATTTTTTTCTTTTTCGACCAATGTCGCTAATTGTCAATACTGCAGTTTTACGACACTGTCAACAGTGTGTGAGAAATTTACGCAAGCACATTGTACATTGGAATATACACTTTACCCTTCTGCTCTCTGTTTTCCCACTGTTTTTGGTGACTGATTTATATGTACATTGCTATTATTATCTCTTGAGGCACACTTCGCACCGCTTAGCTTCACTAATCTCGCACAAGTCAGCGTTTGACTCAAAGAAGACAGATAATTTCGTCACGAGCGAACTTTACGCCCGTGCTCGAAAGAAGCAACTGTGCACGCAACACGTAAAAGTATTTGATCTCGTGTATCAACGAGACACTCATCGAACTAGCTATTTGTAATGGAAGTAATTTACCAGTACAAAAGTTACTGTTACTGCTTATTTCCTTCGGCGCGTCGACAATTTTCACTTCACTGTCCACTGTAAAATTGTATGCGGCCAGTCGCAGTCACGGGCATTTCTCTCATGACTGCATCCCACGCTGTTAACAGAAATTAAATAATTAAGAGGGCAATGGAATAAATAAATAACTTGATTAAAGAACTGCTGGAGGGTGTTTGCTCAAACCTTGAAAACCAAATTTTTCAAATAGCTTAAAATTTCAGGCAAAAATAAAGTATTTTTTACATGCAAACCGAAAGATTTATACCAAAAACAATCACATAATTTTGAAAATTGAATTGATTAGTAGCTCATGGCAACGCCAACAGTGTAAAACATCAAAAAAATCCCTTGTCTGGAGTAATTTAGTGCTCAAATTTCCTTACTAAATAATTAAAAAAAGCTAAACAATATATTTTTTCTGTTTTTAGTTCCTCAATTTGGAACAAGTTTGTCCATTAAAATTTCAAAATAAAAAAAGTACTGGAAAAAAATAAAAGATTAATTGACCAGTCATAAAATAAACGCAAATTTTTCAAAGACATCTTCAACAATAATCTCTAATACAGCGATACAAAACTTGTTCTAAATTGTGATACGGCATTATGTGCGGTGTCTTACCCAAGCCGACGAACGACACAATCTTATCGTGGTTGTACGTCTGCACGTTCAGCTCTTCCTCGGGCGCTACGTAAAGCATAGAGAAGTCTTCCTTCGGCGGATGGAATTTCTCCATGATTCCGGGTGGCGGTGGAGGCGGCGGTGGAAGATACGTGGGCGGCGGAAATCGGGTCGTAGGATAGCTCATGTACGGCAGTGGTTGCATCATGACCGGATGCACAGGCGTCACGTGAGCGTTTGTCGGCGTCACATGAGCGCTCGGTGGTTGCATGTGATAACCGGACGAGAACTTGTCATATCTCACGGATTTCTCGGCGAATAACGGCGGATTCCTCTCGTAGTTGTTAGGCGGCGGTTTGTTCACGAGCGGCGGCACAGCTGGAGAAAAGCGGGGCTTGTCGATGTCACTGGAGTCTCCTCGTTGCCGTTGTCCTCCGAAAGCAACAGTTCGTTTATCTCAAAGCCAAACGTAAGCTCCGTCGGCAGGTTGTTATTCTTGGCGATATCCGAGGAAGTTTCGTCCAGCAAGATCACCGCAGGTCTGGGAGTGGAATTCTTCGTCGGCTGTGTCTCCGTAGACGGCTTTTGCGACTGATCCTTATCGGACTGTGTACTCTGCGATTTCGTTTTCTTGTTCTCCACGTCCTGCGGATTATTATCTTGCTTCGGATTATTTTGCGTCTGACAAACTACTACTTTCGCCACATCATGCTTCATCGCGATATTCTGATGTTCTTTCACAACCTTCGCTGTCCTCGGATCGCTATAGATTGTTTTGTTGTTGCCAGGCTCGGTTTCGATGCTTTGCGACTCTTGCGCAGGTTTTATGACTTTCAATTTCTGCGCGTCCGCGCTGTCGTGCGACGCGGTTGTCAGATTCGCTCTGCTCTCAGACTGTGGAACATCGATACTGTGCGCCTTCTTAACCACCTCATCGTGATAAGGCTTTTTACTATGTTGTTCTTCGTACGAACTCTGAGTTTGTACATTTTGATTACTGTGTATATAATTTCTACGAGAGCGAGGATTGTTAGCTCTCGAATGCGTAAGAGAATCTTTATTGTTGACAGTGCAGTTGGTATTATTATCGGCATCGACTGGACTATAATTCATCGTTGTATTAATGTTACTCAGTTTTGGCGTCACGACGTTTGTACTCGCGGTACTCTCATTTAAATTTGCATTGTAATTGCTGCAAGTCGCATGCTTCTGTTCCTGCTGCGTTAGGCTTTCATGCATCTTTTCGATGTCTTGCACGTATTTAAATACTTGCATGTTTTTATTAATGGCTTCCTCTTGATCCTCGGCCTTTTTTCTGTCCGACGAACTTTTCATTTTCAAAGTCGGCGAAAGTGGCTTTTCGAAGACCAGACTCAAACTCGCTGCCGCATGATTCGTTTGGGCCAAGTTCTGTTGCTGCTTCACTTTCTTCTCCGTATGCTGTATCTCGTCTAGGCTCGGGTAATAATCTTGAGGCACTTTGTCCGGCTCCGAATAAGTCTTTGGCGGAACACTGGGCCACGATGCTGTGTTCAGCATGCTGCATGGACCGATGGCGGACATGTTTAGATTGTGTGATATATTAATGGTGGCCATGCGCGCTATGTCCGCGTAACTCGCTTGCGGAGTACCGCCCGACGACGTCGCGACTTTGGACAAATTGTGCTTCGAGGTGTTTGACGTAACCGGCAACGAATGGACCGAATCCAAGTCGCTACTATCCGACTTGTCACTGCAAAGAACAATTAAATATTTTATATTATTTTTCTGTCTAAAGCTAGCGGCACACGGTGCGATTTTTCATGCTGGATCGCATGCGAAAAACTACTAGAAATGCACCGTACAACATTTTTAGTAATTTACTAGATCTTCTAGCACAGAAAATCGCACCGCGTGGCAGAACTTGTGAATCGAATGGTTGATCTTTCAATTTTACCTTGGAGGCATACTGCTCGCTGATTTTCTTCGGAGTTCGGGAGAGAGCGGTGTCCTGTAATCGTTAGAGAATCCCCTGGAATTCTGCAGATACGATGCTGATGTCGTGAGATTTTGCGCTCTGCCGCCACTGGAGCTCCTTCTCTGTTTCTTGCTCTTCTTTTTCTTCGTAACCACCAAAAACTCCGTCTCGTGTTCCGGTTCTGCATTAATCTTCTTGTTGGAATTACGGCGACCGGCATAATCTTCCCCAGTGTCGTTGCAATATATCGATTGACCTTCCTCTGTTCCCCACGATCGCCTGTCGCCTCGACTATCAACCGCTGCGTCTCCAGTGCTTCTTTGTTTCGGGCGTCGTAACGCCACATTCACACCTATCATCCAGATAAAAATGTTAGAAAAACTAGATATTGAAGATATATAAATATTAGAAAAGATATGTGATCAATTATATGCAAAAGCGCTGAATATAAATAAAAGGCATACCATGTTGGCTAGATATGCTGCTCGCTCCACTGGAACTGACGCTCTTCTCCATCGTGAGATCCTCCAATTTTGTCTTGGAAATTTCTTCCAAAGAATTAGACTTCTGCAGCTTGGAGGGTAACTGTTCCCTTTTTGCATCTTTTTCTCTAGTTCTCGGTTTTGTGCCAGAACTGGTCTTCACTCTAACGGGATTGCTGGTCTTTCCTTTCTTGTTTTTGGATTCTTTATTCTCAATAAAGTTAATCAGACTGTCGATATCCTCGTTACGATGACCCTCGACATTTTCAGCGTTATAAACTTTGACATTATGTTCCTGAGTGTGTTTCCTCCTTGGCTTCTTTCGCTCGCCGTTGTAAGTCTGCACTGCGTTTCCGTTTTCGTCCAACGATTTCTTTTCTCCCGACACGGATGGATCCTTCATTGTGATGTGCTGCGTCGTGTACCTGGGGCCTTCTGTGCACAATCCACGTACTTCAGTTTATAATCAATGATTCTATTAACTTTGAAAATGAATAAAAACGCACATGCATTTAAATATTTTTTAAATATAATCTTTGAATATATAAAAGTTTATACATCG